GGCGAGATTCTTGTCGCGCCAATTTGCCGTGTCATCCGCCGGCGCGTCTCCAGAGCTCATCGTGTCCCCTCGCGCGTCCGTCTCCTCAAGTGTTGCCTCCTCTCGGTCGAATGTGGGTCGATCGTCGCCAAGAAAGCCGCCGGACGCCGTCGCGCCCTCGTCCCGGGCCTCCACCCCTCACCACCTCCAAACTCAACCGCGCCACGATCTAAAAAAAAGGCCGGAAAGGCACGCTAACCCTCACCCGCGCCTCGGCGCGCGCTCCGAGTCGTCGTCCGCGCGCGGCGCGGGGCAGTCGCGCGCCTCGGGCCGCGGCTTGACGGGGACGTCGTCCTCGTTGACCATGCCGTCCCAGCGCCAGCGGTCGTTGCAGGAGCAGGAGCCCCGGGAGAAGTCGTGGCTCGGCCGGCCGCGCTCCGTCGCCGTGAGCCGGAGGTTGAAGTGCACGGACGCGGCCTTGAAGAACGCGTGGCAGTCGACGCACATCTTGAAGTTCACGTCGACGTTGAGGTCGACGGACCCCGGCCGGTCGAGGTGCTCCAACAGGAGCACGGCCAGCGCCTTCTTCTCCGCGTGGAGCGCGAGGGACCGGTGCATCTCCGCCTCGCCGCGGTCCACCAAGGCGTGCTGCACGTTGTAGGGCAGCGCGCGGAGCTGGGGCTCGTAGCGCCCGCCGGGCACGCGCGACCGCAGCAGCGTGTCCACGAGGTCGCCGAGCGTCGGCGGCGTCTTGATGTTCGGCCCGTCGACGTAGGACTGGCGCACGCGCCGCCCGTCGGCCGCGCGGACGTCGACGTGCGCCTCCGCGGCGATGGCCACGAGGCCCTCGGCGTCCATGCGCCGCTGGACGGCGCTGGCGCCGCGCTCGTCGCCCAGGGCGCGGCAGGCCTCGAGGCAGACGCGGTGGAGCACGAACCGCTTGTCGTGGATGACCTTCGCGTAGGCCCGGCGGACGCACGCGGGCAGCGCGAGCTTGAAGCGCTCGCCGGCGCCGCCCGCGCCGCCGTGCCGCGCGTCGCCGTCGTCGTCGTCGAAGTCGAGGCCCAGGAGCGCCTTCGCGTGCGCGACGGCCGCGCGGTCGCCTGGGCAGGAAACGGGTGCGAACTTCCCCAACTTCTCTCGGCCGCTTTCCACTCGTTTCGGCTAACTTTTGCACGAGCGATCATCTCTCGGAGCGCTCTCGAAGCGTGGACGCTTTTTCTGGAACGCGCGCGCGCGGAACACTCACGTTGAAGCGACGTTGAATCACCAGGTTCCCGCCCCGGCGGTCGCGCGACGCGGCGACGGACGTCACGAAGGACCGCAGCAGTTTGGCCGCGTCGGGCGACGACACGCGCTCGCCGTAGATGTCGAGCCAGAGCTCGAGGAGCCGCAGGCCGTCGCGCCAGTGCGACGCGGCCCAGATCGTGTTCGCGACGCCCTGCGCGTCGAAGTCGCGGACCCGCCGCTTCGCGACCTTCACCAACTTGTCGATCAAGCTCGCGTTCTCCGCCGTGAGGCCCGCCGTGCGGTAGGACCAGGCCACGGACGCGAGCTCGCGCGTCTTGAAGTAGTCGAGCTTGCGCTCCGCGGCGCCCGCGACGACCTTGAAGAAGTGGGGTGCGTCGTGGCCGGCCGTCGCGAAGGCCCAGATGCCGTTCGCGAGGCCCTGGGGGTCGAACTGGTCGATCTGGCGCGGCGCGCCGGCGGCGATGGCGTCGAACAGGTCCGGCGCGTCGTGGCAGGCCGTCGCGTAGGCCCAGACCGTGTTCGTCATGTGCTGCGGCTGGTACTCGGCCATCCGCCGCACCGCGTGCGCCGCGACGGCGTCGAAGAGCTCCGGCGCGGGCTGCTGCGCCGTCGCGAAGGCCCAGACGACGTTGACCAACGCCTGGATATCGAAGGCCTCCAGCGTCGGCAGGGACCGGGCCTCGATGGCCTCGAAGAGCCGCGTGCACGGGGCCCGCGCCGTCGCGAACGCCCACGACACGTTCGCGAGGTGCTGCGGCGAGAACTCGTCGATCTTCTCCGTGCACGTCGCCGCGAGCGATTCGAAGAGCCGGGGCGCCGCCGTGCCCGACTTGGCGTAGGCCCAGGACACGTTGGCCAAATTCTGCGGCGCGAAGAGCGCCATGCGGTACGGCGCGTCGCGCGCGACGGCGTCGTAGAGCGCCTTCGCGCGGATTTTGGCCGTCGCGTAGGCCCAGACGACGTTCGCCAGCTCCTGGGGCTTGAAGGCCTCGGGCTTCTCCGCGACGACCTTCTCCACGGCGGCGTAGAGCGCGGGCGCGTCGAGGCCCATCTTCGTGACGCCCCACGCCGTGTTCGCGGTCTCGCGCGCGCCGTAGGTCGCGTGGCCCTCGCCGATGAGCTGCGTCGCGCGGTCGATGAGCTGGCGCACGGTGCCGTCCGTGCGGATGTTTCGCGAACGCGCGAAGCGCGACCCGAGGCGGTGCACGGCCGTCGACAGGTTCACGCCGTCGAACTCCGCGCCGCGGCGGTCGAAGAGGTTGAGGATCGACTTGTAGGTCGCGTTGCGGTCCGTGATCTCCTTGTTCAGCGCGATGGACGCGACGCGCTTCTCGTCGCGCGGCTTGAGCACGACCTTGGGCCGCGGCGCGTGCAGCGTCCGCATCGTCGGCGTCACCTCCTGCACCGCCGGCCGCTTCACGTTCTGCCCCAATTGCTGCGCGCGCGTCTGCTCGTCGAACTGGGGCCGCCCGTTGTGGTAGCGGGGCTTGGGCTTGTCGTCGCGCGGGGGGCTCCGCGATCGCGACCGCGAGCTCAGGGAACTGGAATCGCTGTCGGAGCTCAGCGACGAGTCGCTGCTGTCGCTGCTGCTGCCGTCGCGCCGCCGCTCCGCGCGGTCGCGCTTCTTCATGCGCTTCAGCGCCTTCTTCAGGCGCCACATGGTCATGGCGGCCGCGGGGCCCGGCGGCGCGCGCGGCTGCCCACTAGTCGACTATGGCAGCCACCTCGCCGCCCGAGCTTTTATGCTTCGATGCAACGATGAGTGCACCGTTCCAAGTTGAAGATGTCACATGTCCAGCAGCTTTTATTTACAATTCATCATGCACAATGATGGCGTAGGTCGCGGCGAGCTTCGGGTAGACGACGTCGAAGGCGCCCTTGCAGAGGACGAGGCCGCCGACGAGCGCGAGGAAGCCCACCGTCGCGGCCGCGGCGAGGAGGCAGAGGAGCGTGGGCCCCGAGATGGACCGCCGCGGGAGCGTCGCGACGGGCGCGGCGTCGGCCGCGGCGTCGCGCGCGCGCCGCGCGTCCTCGCGCGCCTGGGCCAGGAGGCCGCGGAGCGCGTCCACGGGGCTCGCGAGGGTCGCGGCCGCGCCGTCGCCGCCGTCGTCGTCCGCCTCGCCGCCCTCGTCGTCGTCCTCGCTCGAGCACTCCGACAGCGTCGAGTCGTTGCGCTTCGCCGGCGGCCGGAAGTCGCGGAGCGCGCGGAGCGACGCGACGCCCGGGTCGTCGACCGCCGCGCCGTCGCCGCGCCGCGCGCGGTGCGCGCGCAGGTTCTCGATGACGTTGTCGACGTGCTCCGCGAGCGCCGCCTTCGTGTGGGCGCTGTTGAGCAGCTCGACGAGCGCGCGGCTCGCGGACCGCGTGGCCGTCACGGACGCGCGCGCCTCCGGCGTCGACAGCAGCTCCAGCGCGTCCAGGGCCGCCTGCTCCACGGCGTCCATCGTCGCCGCGGCCTGGGGCGACGCGAGCGTCTCGAAGGTCGCGAGGAGCGTCGTCGTGCCGTCGGCGCAGAGCCGGCGGCCCTCGGGCGTCGCCGCGGCGCCGAGGTACGCGGACCCCAAGCGCTCGACGGCCTCGAGGAACGCGGCGCCCTCGGCGCTGTCGAGGAAGATGGTGCAGCAGGCCTTGAGGAGGTTGCCGAAATCCGCGGCGATCTCCGCGGCGACGTGCTCGGGGAGGAAGTTGAGCGCGAGCGGCGCGACGTACCGCAGGGGCTCCCAGAGGCCGTACTTGGTCGCGTAGTACGCGCCCGTGCCCACGGCGTCCACGAGCCCGCCGCGCTCGCGGCCGCGCTTCGGCGGCGACGCGCCGGGCGCGCGCGGCGGCCGCGACGACGCGGCCGCGCCGCCCGCGGCCGCGCGCCGCGGCGGCGTCCGCCGCCGCGCGGCGCCGCCGACGGGCGCGGTCGCCGCGCTGCCGCACTCCGACGGTGCCTCGCGCCGCGGCGGCGTCGGCACGCTCGCCGCCGCGCGCGACGAGCCGGGCGAGCTCGGCGCGCTCACGTTCGCGAGCGGCGGCGGGTCCAGCTGGTCGCTCAGGTACGACCGCAAACTGCCGTCGCTCGCGACGCGCACGACGCCGCCGCCGCCGACGAGCGACGTCACTGGCGTGCCGATGGGACCGCTCGGACGCTCGGACGAGCGCGTGAGCGGCAAGCGCACGCCGGGTTCGTCGGCTTCGGCCATTGCTTACGCGAGAGGCACCAGGCTTCGTCGATTGACAAGTGCAAGGTAGTGCATCATGACTTCAACATCCGGCGCGGGCGCTGGGAGTCGCGCTAGCGATACTTATTATTATTGGGTGCTTTGACGTGGGGACTTCGGCGACCGCCCGTGGGCGGCCGTCGGCGGACGCGGATCAGGTCGGCGGAGGAGGGCGCGGGAGATGACTACCGCTTCTTGTCGAGCTTCGTGGCGGTGATGAGGAGGAGGTCGACGGCGAGGAGGCCGGCGTTGACGGCGCACATGCGGAGCATGCACTCCGAGTACGAGCTGAAGAAGCGGTAGAAGTCCTTCTGCCGCGAGAGGTCGTAGTAGACCTCGCCCTTGGCCGGGCCCGAGGGGACCTCCTCGAAGGGCTCGACGGTCGTCGCGTAGAAGATGCCCTCCATGAACCAGCGCGGCGCGGAGATCGCGTAGATCCAGCTCTCCTCGGCCGCGTCGATGGTCCCGGCGCGCGCGGTGCTCGTGCCCGAGTACATGATGGCCCACCAGACGGCCGCGGCCACGGCGGCGAGGCCGCAGGCCGTGTAGGGCAGCAGGAACGACAGGAAGTAGCCGGAGAAGTAGCCGAAGACGTTGATGAGGACGAAGCCCGCCAGGAGCTCGCCGGTCCGCATGGGCGAGTTGAACGTGCTCACGAAGGCGCCCCAGATGGAGATCGCCGACACGACGCACAGGGGCGCGTCCGCGACGACCTTGGCGAGGAAGTAGGCCGGCGTGTGCAGGCCGGACGCGGCCTCGCGCCAGTACTGGGCCGTCTCGCAGCCGAACGTCGCCGCGCTCGTCGCCGCGCCCATCGCGACCAGGATGAAGATGATGGACGAGATCGCGGGGACGTAGGAGTTGTCCTGGAGGTCGAGGCACGCGCGCTGCAGCTCGGGGTACTGCTGCGCGCAGATGTCGGCGGAGTAGCCCCCCAGGACGTTGAGGTGCTTGCCGACGAGGGACGCGAGGAACTGGCCGACGGCGAAGTAGACGACGATCGTGCCGACGAAGAAGCCGCGGAACGACGACCCGTAGGCCTGGCGGCACGCGCGCTTGAGGCAGATGGCGAAGGTCGCCGCCGCAGAGATCGCCGGCCGGTCCGGGTCGCCGCGCGGCGGGCAGAACGCGCGCGCGACCTCGCGCGGGACGTCGACGAGATCCCGCCTGAGCGCCGCGACGAGCGTCGCCGCGACGCGCGCGCGGCGCGAGGCCGTCGGGCGCCGCGAGTCCGTCGCGTCGCCGGCGTCCGGCGGCGCGAGGCCGTTCGACGCGTGCCACAGCTTCGTGAAGCCCGTCATGTGGTCCCAGGGCCCGTCGAGCGCGGCGGCCGAGGAGGCGCCCGCCGGCTCGACGCCGCCGGCGACGCACTTCATTATGAAGTCCGCCACGGGATCGAGCGTGTCGCCGCGCGGGTACGCGAAGCCGATCGACCCAAAGTAGGTCTCGACGTCGCGCGTCGCGCCGTGGTAGACCAGGCGGCCGCCGGTCTGGAGCAGCAGGAAGCGGTGGAACGCGTCGAAGGCCGCGGGCCCGGGCGAGTGAATGACGGCCGCGATCGTGAGGCCGTCGCTCTCGGCGACGGACCGCAGCATGAGCGAGAGCTCCGTCGCCGAGACGCTGTCCAGCCCGGACGTCGGCTCGTCGAGGAAGAGCACCTTGGGGTCCGCGACGAGCTCGAGGCCGACGTTCACGCGCTTGCGCTGGCCGCCGGAAATGCCTCGTTGAAATTCATCGCCGATCTTACTGCGCTGGATCTGCACGAGGTTGAGCGAGTCGAGGACCTTGAACACGAGCGCCTGCTTGCGCGACGGCGCCCAGGTCGCGGGCAGCCGCGTGTACGCGCTGAACTCCAGGTTCTCGAGGACCGTGAGCTCCCGGTGCATGACGTCCTCCTGGGGCACGAAGGCGACGCGGCTCCGCCACTTGGCGAGCGACGCGCACTCCTCGCCGTTGACCCGGATGACGCCCGACGTCTTCTTGACCTTGCCCGTGACCAGGTTCATGATCGTCGTCTTGCCCGCGCCCGACGCGCCCATGATCGCCGTCGACGTGCCCGGGAGGAAGCACCCCGACGGCCCGCGCATGATCGTCGTGCCGTCGGGGAGCACGAGGCGGATGTCCTCGAACTCGATCTTGTAGGTTTCGCCGTTGTCCTTGGGCGAGCTGGCGCGCGCCTCCTCGAACGACACGGCCGCGGTCTGCTTCGCCTCGCGCTTGCGTTCCTCGGCCTCGACGACGTCGTGATAATCCTCGAGCTCCTGGACCTCGCGGCGCATGGCATCCTCCTGGTAGCGGGTCCGGAGCTTGAAGACGACGTAGGCGACGAGCGAGATGAGCACGAACCAGACGAGGCCCGACGCCGATTGCTCGGGCACGGCGGAGCCGCGCGGGCAGATCTGGGCCGCCTTGCACGCGCGGGGCTCGACGCTCCCTTCCTTACAATAGTAGCCCTCGGGGCATTTCTTGATCTTCGCCGGCGTCTCGCAGTAGTAGCCCTGAGGGCAGAACTTGGGCATCGCGCTATTCGCGTCGCACCAGAAGCCGTTGCCGCACGCGCACGCGTAGGCCCAGACCGTTTCGTCGCGGCCGGCGCTCACGGCGCAGGATACGCCGCCGAAGCCGTCGCCGGGCCACCAGGCCTCGGCGAAGTAGGCCGCGGCGTCGTCTTCCGTGCCCGTGAAGGCGCCCGCTGGGCAATACGACCCGGCGGAGCAGTCGAAGAGCTCCACGCAAGGGGTAGTGAGGCGGTAGACGGAGCCGCCCTTGTCCTGCGTCGATAACCACGTGTTCGCGAGGCACGCGTCGGACATTCTGCGCGTGAGCGGCGCAGGCGATCTACTACTTGTAAACTTGGCGAGTGTCTCTCTCTATAGATCTAGCGCATTAGGCGACGCACCCC